TGTTATAATTTGCTGTGATTGCAGTAAAAAACTACAAACTACTGTCAAACGATAGAGCAGGCTTCATATATATATATATATATAATATTCTACAGTACTTAAAATTAAGTTGATATAATATTCTACAGTACTTAATTTTATATATATATAAAATTAAGTTGATGATTAGCTGTGAAAGTTGAAACAAAGTGATGAATGCCCATCTTAGATTGGAATGATTTAGGCTCCAAAATGGGTCAACAAAAATTAGTACAATATTCATGAATTAATGGAATTATTTCTTTTGCTTATTAAGGAGGGACAGGGCTCAACTCCCACCATGTCTGGCCCAACTGTAAATTAACTTGGACTCTTCAGTTATTGGCCCACTACAACTACTATTCATACGGGTAACAGCTGCACAGAAGACCAACCTTGAGACTTCGATTCCTCTGCCATTAATAGTATTTATTTTTTGGTGAATGAAAATTTTTTGGTGAATGAAAGTTATTATATCCTTTTAAACAGGTGTAGAGTTTCGAACGCGCTATCGCTCTTACACTATGCGTGCACTCTCGTTTCCGTTTTCATTATTTGTGACTTAATTTTACTCTTTTTGACCTCACATTCTTAAATTCGCCTCCCGCTCCCGCTCCCGCTCCCGCTCCCGCCCCCACTTTATATGATTTAAGTTACACCATTCAATAAATTATACACATTTTAGAGTTGGAAAACTCACTCATTGCCAATGGTGACAACTAAAAAGTAGTAAATTACACCAACCTCTTCTAAGGTTTGTCCAAATTAATTACACATAAGTAAATCATTCAGTATTTATTACTTTGACTTCTCATAAACACATTCGTTGGAAACAATAAGTAACTTTGAGTGTGAAAAATTAGTATCATATTTAAATTATAATAATATATTTTTTTTCGATAATTATTATAATAATATGTTATACTCATATTACATTTTGTATAAGGTGAAGGGCAAAATTGTCATTTTATAAAAGTTGGTCAGCAATTCAATAGGAAAGAAAATGCTAGGAGTAACGTTGGGCGCACACATCAAATTTTGGGAGTGGTTAAAGTAATAAATAATGAATAGTAACTAAACTTAGTTGGTGATAATGTGTTTAGACTAAAAAGTTTGTTAATAGAAAGAAAAGAAAAAAAAAAAAAAAAAAAAAAAAAAAATTGTGTTCGACAAACATTTACTTTCTTGCATGTGTAGAAGAGGTTCTCTTTATAAGTTGATTATCTATTATCATATAAATGTGACTAAGTGGGAAAAAAGTAACTCCTGGGTTGACTCGTCACCATTTCTCTTCAACTTGAGGATGTGAAGATATTGTTATTCAACGAACGAAGAGGATAAGGTAAACCCCAATATCGCAACCAACTTCATCACCTCAACAGATTCCGTTATTGATGATAAGGGAGATCTCAACCATCAACACGTGCGGAACGATCTTGATTCCAATCGGCAGCCATAAATAGGGTATCGAGCCATTAAATTAGGTATGAAAAAAAAAAACCCTAAACATTGAATACATAATTATTTTGTGATACGATTACAAATACTAACTTGATTGTTGGAGGGTCTTCGGCTGGTACCCCATCGGTGCCATTCGAGGTGGCGTCCCTTTATGTTGTAGGTAAACGCTGTCGTTCCGGGTCGCGAGAATTTTCACATTAACAACTGACGCCGTCTGTGAGAAAGATTAGTTCCTGAAGAAAAAATAATTCTGACGTGATTTAGCTCGGACGGTAAGATGAAGGTTTCCGATAGTGGAAACCATCCCAAAGTCATCCGTAGATAATGGGTTTCCTCGTTCTTATATAATGACAGGTCTCTACATCATAATTCCCTGTCCATTATATTCGGGGCAAAATAGTGGGTTGCTTGATGCCACCCAGCGTACGATGACAATAGTCAAAATTTGGCATGTTAACCCAGGCACCAGTCCAATGTGGTGTCTTTCATCTAGCAGTGCTCCGTCCCCTCACTATTGAGGTCTAGTCGCCCAAGACCAAACCCTGTCTCTTATCTGGCAGAAGCCAACTTCCAAGGCTTGATCATCGAAGACTAAGGCCTGGTCCTTTTGCGCCTACATAAATGAGTGGGTTTCCACCCACCAAGAAGATCACTACCAACAATAGGGTCTCTACCTACTAGTAAAGCCTCTACCACTGAGGATGTCTCTAGTAACAGAGTCTCATTACTCCGCTCATTCGTCCAAGGAGGTCCAATGTCCCTCAAGATCCCATATCCAATGAGGTCTGCATTCCCAAGGAGGTTCCTAAGTCAAGGGTGATCATTGGACCCAACGAGGTACTGGTTACTAGACCATCATCTGTCAGACGTTGGGCACCACGTCCCCATCCACCAGGCATCAAGTTAATCGCTGGACACCAAACCTCCACCTACCAGACGTCGGTCATCACCTCTCTTCCCTTGCAGGAAATGCCCATTAACTTCAGATTATGCAGAATTTTGAATCGATAATCCATTACAAGTTAATTTTCAGTAATCATTTCTAACACAATCTAACATCTTAGACAACTATAAATTGTTGCAGTACCAGGCACCCCGTTCGTTGTATAAACTTCTATAGAATAGGTCATCACCCAAGATCCTACTATCATACAGGGGGGCAGAATAGTGGATCACACGATATCAATCATCAATCTATATATGATGACAAGGTTTAGAAGATAGACGTACCAACCTCAGTACATCGAGTTATCCGGGTTTCTGGTCTCTCTGCCTCAACGATCCCTTGAGGGCACTAGTCTTCCAAGACCAATGCCTGATCCTTCAAAACCATAGCCTGGTAAGTCTCTACACAGGACTCTAAGTCTAGTGAAGTTTCTACAATCAATGAGTCCAACGTATCCAAGGTGGTCCCATGCCCAATGAAGTTTTTAACCATCGAGCACCAATGATGGTTTCTTCTATCAAGAACCAAGCTTGGTCACATGCACTTCAAATCTGACGAGTCACTACCACCATAGCTACAAAACGGGGCAAGCATAAAAGATAAGTCCACGAAAGTGAAAAACTTTGACTCCCTTATTAAAGGGCAAGTTCACTGAACTAAATAAAATAAAATAAATGCAAATTCCCTTATTAAAGGGCAAGCTTATAAAGCTTGGGCAAAACATTCCCTTATTAAAGGGGTGAGCTGGGTGAAGCTCGTAAAAATTAACCCTTTATTAAAAAGGCGGGCTGAGTGAAGCTCGAAATCATTATTTCCCTTATCAATAGGGCAAGCCGAGTGAAACTTGAACATATTACGAACCCCTTACCAAAGGAGTAAGAAAAACTACTTCTCTTATTAAAGGGTCGAGACATCAATGGTCAAATAGATCTAAATATGACTCTTAAAAGAGGAAACGGTTCCAACACCAAAAGTTAGATCATAAAGGTCCAACCCCTGGTAATCATAAATCAAGGCTTGGTTATCCGGAACCAAGGCCTAGTCAACCAATACTAAGGATTGATTATCCAAAGTCTACAAAGGCTCAGTCATCCAAGACTAATGCCTGGTCACCCCAAGTCTGGTCATTAGAGACCAAGACCAGGGCCTAACCAACAAAAGTATGGTCATTAGAGACCAAGACCGAGGCCAAACCTACAAAGGTTTGGTTATCCAAGATCAAGGCATGATTAAAAATAAAAAATAAAAAATAAAAAATAAAAAAAAAACCCACCTTGGGAATAGGTACTGTTCACTTCGAGAATAGTAACTGGGGGTGAAAAAAAAAAAAATTCTCACCACGATAATAGGAACCCGGTGTGAAAAGAAAAAAAAAAAACTTCTCACTTTGGGAACAATACTCGGTACTGTTCGCCTCGGGAATAGTAACGGGGGTAAAAAAAAAAAATCATCTCGGGAACAGTACCCGGAGGTACTGTTCACCTCGGGAATAGTGACTCGGAGTGAAATATATATTTTTCACCTCGGGAATAGTAACCGGGGGTGAAAAAAATAAAAATCTCACCCCGGGAACAGTAACCTCGGGGTGAAAAAAAAAAAGTCCCACCTTTGGAACAGTACTCAGAGGTATTGTTCACCTCAGGAATAGTAACCCAGGGTTAAAAAAAAAAAACACTATATTTCCTAGTCCGTTCCAAACTAGGAAATATGGGGCAACTTATGGGGAAAAAAGTAACTCTAGGGTTGACTTGCCGCTATTCCTCTCCAACTTGAGGATATGAAGATATTATTATTGAAGAGGCAACCAATTTCATCACCTCAACAAATCCCGTTATTGATGATAAGGGATATTTCAACCATTGACATGTGCGAAACGATCTTGATTCCAATTGGTAGCCATAAATAGGGTATCAAACCATTAAATCAAGTATGAGAAAAAACCGCTAAACATTGAATACATAATTATTCTGTGATACGATTACAAATACTAACTTAATCGTCGGAGGGTCCTCGGACGGCCCCACCAGTGCTATTCGAGGTGGCGTCCCTTTATTTTATTGGTAAATACCGCCATTCCGAGTCGTGAGGATTTTCGCATCAACAGTGACAAGTGTTTATTATAATATTAAAAATATAAATTAAGAAAGAAACACAAATTATTATTTTACTTGGATCAAATTAATTCCAAATCAGTTACCAATTTTAATATAATTCACATGGAGCTTATCAACCCCGAGAGACGAGGGATGAATGGTCAAAATATAGAGTAATCTTCGAGGTCGTTTGTGAGAAGAGGAGTGAGTTGTTTACAGTTAATTAATACAGTAAAGTTAAAAAGTAATGATTGATTCAATTTTTTCACAAAATATCAAAAAAAATATTTTAATTTAGTAATTAAATATGAAGATTTCATATCTCTTGTTTTGAAAATAAATTTTTTAAAGAGTATTCTTATTGAAATATTTGTTTTAAGGGTTAAATTTTAGGAATTACGGAGTAAAATTTTTAAATAGTAATAAAAAAATAAATATTAGTATTTATCCCCTTTGCCGGCGTGTCCATTTCTGTTGCAAAAAACAATTCTTCAGCGACGACAAAAGATAACTCAAACGACGTCGTGAGGCTTCTCTCATTTCAGTCAGAAAACTCTCAAGGTCAAGCCGACAAGCCCCATCTTTCTCTTTCGACCTCTACTGCCGACGGCTGCAACGCCGGTAGCCGTCGCCGTCGCTGTAATCAGACAAAGGTAACGCCATTTTCTCTTACTCCCAGCAGCGCCATTTTACTGAACTCTCTTTCTGCTTGATTTCTCTACTTATTATCCTCTCAAATTTTCCCTTATTTTACTAAACCCTAACAGACCTTTGATTTTGGTGATTTTTCGGTGAGGGATTTTGCAGATCTAGTACAAATCGAACCAGAGAATACACTGTCAAGTATGTATTACGAGTTTGATGGAACATCTACAAGTTATTTTTGTATAATTCTTTGTTTACATCTTTGTAGCCCTGTAATTTTGTTCTAGGTTTTTTTTTAAAATGTTTTTTCCACTGTGAGGCATGTTAACAATAAGTTTCAAAAAAAAAAAAAAAAATGCATGTTAACAATATTGTAGATATATATAGATCTATATACATATATAAATATATTAACGAAATTTATGAACTTGTCTCAATAAATGTTATTAAACGAAAGAATTCGAGATTTATTTCAGAAAAAATGGTGAAGTTTAGATAAATGGCATTGAAAATAAATTGCTACTTTTTTTACTGTGAATTGTCGCTGTCATTTTTATGGTGGTTTTAATTTCACTTTTTGTTAATCGTTTGGGAATTGGGACCTCTGGGTTGACAAAGTGTATCACCAGTACATGGAATTCCAAGCGTGAATCTCAGGGTGTTTTCTTTTCTTTTCAGTTTTTAATTTATTTTATTTTATTTATCTTCATTAGTAATTATTTAGTTCAGTACTCATTCTAAGTTCTATATTTTGTTTTTCAAAAATTTGATGGCATACTGCCTGACATTGGAGTATTTACTTTTTGTTATTTGATCATTAATGTTGGTTATTCTCATTGTTTTCTATCCCATGAAAACATTTTCTGATATGGTATTCCACTTGGGTATTTGTTATTTTCTAAATATTAAGAAGAACAAAAAAGTTCAAGCAAACGCGGAACCTACATGCACTCACAATATTGCCCCTAGGGGGCTCGAACACTCAACCTCTCCTTTGGAGGAGAGATCATACCATCTGGGCTAATGCCAATTGGTATTTCGAACAAATAATTGATAAGTGAATAACTATACTTACTAACAAAATAATTATATACATTCATTACTGGAATGGATAGGAATAAGGGTAATTTTCTGATACTTCTCATTGTCTGTGTTGAAATGAAAAGTATCACTGTATGAGTTCAAGTTCAACACTTAAAAAGCAGGTTGATTTTTATGTTTTATCTTGTAGAGATCAGTGCAAGTTCAAGTAGTTTGAAAAAGCATTCGCCTAGCTCCCAAAAAAACATCTTAGTGATTTTTACTCGTTCTCTCTATTGTCTTGCTTAATTTGTCATAGTAAATTACTTGTTCTCTGGGGTATAAAGTGCAATGACCTGCGTTCATGGTGCAGTCTAAAGCAGTTATTATAGTTATTCTCTTATCAACAGATTTTTGAAGATAGCTTTAGTCCTTGGTATGGATTACAGAGGAGTATGCTCTTTTATACTCTCTACATTTTTTTTTCTTTGAGAAATTCCCAATGCCTATCATGTTATTAAAGGTATCATCATACTTATTATTATTATTTTATCATGTTATTCAAATATAGCAAATGAATTATATTGTTTATGATAATCAAGCTGGATTTCTGACATTAGACAATTGTTCTTAGGACATGATTCTTCCAAGCAGCCTAATATTTTTGCTGGAAATGCAACGCATGGTATTGGAAGTTTGATGTGATCTTAAGATATTATCATTAACTTCAACGTGATGCCACTTATAGATAGTACTATCATGATCATTGAATATATATATATATATATATTTAAAGAATATGATCATTGAATTTTGCTGGGTTCTGCACCTTGATTAGTTATGATGCTGTAGGGTAAGCATAAAAGATTTTAGATCACCAATTGACCTATAGGCCAATCAAGGAAAGGAATTTATAATGGTTCTGCAATGTTATTTTCGTCAAAGGGATGAAAAACTGCGTGCTGCAATTTTTAGCTTTATTTTCTTAAAGAGAACAAAAATGGCAGATAAATTGAAGTACATGGAATATAACACTCTTGAATATTTATGTCTTCGACACGTTTTTTTCATGTAATCATTATCATTGATGTTACTTACAAAATAAAAAAATAAAAATCATTGTCATTGATGTTGCAGGGATAAAGAGATGGCAATGAATAATAGTATCAGATCATTGAGAAGTATTATCATCATTCAGGAGGAAGTGAAGGTGGGTATCAGAACATTTGCTGTTGGGGGTGGTAAAGCAAAGAAGTGTTCCAAGGGGGGTGGGGCAGCTGATGCACCAAAGTCGTCGACTCTAAGCAAGGAAGTAAAATCCACGACAGTGGTTGGTGCCAATATCCTCAAAGATGGAGCAGACCCCAAAATTTTTCCAGTTTCTGAATACCCTGATTGGCTGTGGCACCTGGTGGATAAACGCTCTGCATTGAGTGAGCTAAGACGGAAAAACATAGAAACTCTCCCTTACACAGATCTCAGACGTTTTGTTAAGCTGGACAACCGAGCAAGGATCAAAGAAAACAACTCTGTTAAAGCAAAGAATTGATCAAGAGTTTGTAGGAGTCATTTTTTACTTTGTAGACTCTTGACGTTTGTGTCAATTTGTACTTGCATGCTTACAACTGGTGTAGGGGAATTGTAGAGAAAACAAACACGATTTAGCATATCTTTATTGTTCCAAAAACTCTCTCCCTCGTATTTTGATAGAACTTCTGATTCTGCTCAGAAACGTTGGGAAATAAAACGTTTGATTAATTGTTTCTTGGTAGCATATAACAAAGTTGACCATAAAGTTCTCAGCCAAGCATAATTTGGCAGTTATATCACAGAGCTTCTGGTTGAAGTCTTGAATTATTTTCACAGTGGAATAATATTCCTAGTGTAGTAGTATGTACTTTGTGGTATTAAGAAAACAACCTCTCACCATGTGGAAGAAAGGTTGCGTGCATCTAACTCTCTCTATATCCCGTAGTGGTGGGAGGCTTGTGCATTGGGCTTGTTTTAGTATGTACAATGGAGAATGCAGTCCAAAGGAATGTCTTGCATTTGAGATGGGCATTATAATATGGTTCTTAGGACTTTGCATAATCTTGGGAGGCTTGTGCATTGGGCTTGTTTTAGTATGGACAATGGACAAAGCAGTTCAAAGGAATGCCTTGCATTTGAGATGGGCATTATAATATGGTTCTTAGGACTTTGCATACTCTTGGTCCCTAAATGATCTTGAGATGCCAGGTGTAACAAGGGTCATTTGTCCTATATTAGATTCGGATGGAAAAATGATTAGGTATAAATGGGTGGGTATGTAGCATTACTCAACAACTTGATCTTTTGGGTAAATGGGCAAGCGTTCACCCGTTGCAATTGGTATCATAGTTAGACCCAGTCCTTGATCCGGTGCCATGCCAAGCGCCCAACCCAGAAGGCATTCGGGTGAGTCACCCCTGGTAGGCAGGGTGTCCCGACCACAACGAGAGCGTTGCGAGTTTGAGTGGAGGAGAATATAACAAGGGTCATTTGTCCCACATCGGATCCGGATGGGAAAGTGATTTGGTATAAATTGATAGATTTGCAACACTACCCAACCGTTTGAGCACTACCCGTTATACTAGGACACTACATATTTACAAGCAGAACTTGCGGTGCTTGATCTATAACGATTTAGGGTACATTGTTTATCTTAGCATTGGAGACATACCAGAATAGAGAAACTCCTATTCGAAAATTAAATTCAGATAAGTATGCATATCATCCATTTATCCAGGCTGGAGAAAATATTTAATGGAGCTTATCAATAGCGAGGACCGTTAAATTGAACACAAGGACAATACTCAATATTATATTTTAGTTTTTTCTTTTATATTTTTATTTTTTTACACATAAACTTGGGATTTTCTTTTTAAAATGCTGTGGGCAGAAATGGGAAGAAATTAAATAAGTTTCTTGCAGGAATTATGAGTCCTTTGAATGCCTTCCCAAATGTGTTTCACACTGTAAATTAGATTTTGGGTCCTCCAACTCGATGATCAAAACATGGAAGACAAAAATGTTGGTGAATTGCTGAGCACAACTTGCATTGACAGCTTAACAACAATTGAGAGCCATCCACTTAAATGCTTGCTCCAATTATAGAAATTGGCACCAAATGAGTCCCACTTCATTATATCACACGTCTAAGCACTGTTTGGCCAAGAATTTCGGTTCAGAAAACATTTCTCTTATTTTAAAATGTCACATTTAATGACACTACCATATATATAGTTGCAAAATATCTTATTTAGCTATCAACTTCAGCCAATATGGTGGACTCATATGGGGTCTGTGTTTACTTGGTCCAAGTCAATTCAGTTTGAGAAGACTTTTCCAAATTTAATGGTTTTTAGGATTTGATGGGAGCACAAAAGCACCGACACTTTTACGAAATACTTGTATTGGACACCGACACTTCTCAAATACTCCTCGAATACGTATTCGACATTTCATTTACGTGTTTATAAATAAAAATTAATTTTATTATTTCGAACATTTTGCTGACACTTCTTGAATAATTCGTCGACACTTTTCGGACACTTTGCCGACACTTTACGGACATTTATAATACAAATTTACATAATAATTTTGAAAATAATATAAATACTATCATGACAAAGTAATAAAATAATAGTATATATAATATAAAAATCATTATAACAATTACATAATTTTATTTTCTAATTCATTTCAGAGTAACTCTTAATATAAAAATTATAAATGAATTAAAATTTTATAATACTATTACTGAATAAACGTATAAAAATAAAAATTTATATTTATATGTAATCGTGTCTATGCCATATTCGTATCTTATTTTTTAAAATTTTAATGTATGAACATATCTCTGTCATATTGTGTTCTTTTCCTTACTTCATAGGATGGGAGATATCTAGCTACACACTTTAACAAGTTTTTCCCAACATTTTCAATAATTAATTACCTAATAGTGTGGTAGTAACCAAGGCAGAAGTTCCGTAATATTTATTTATCTTTCCAAATAAATGGTCGAGTGAGCGTGGAAATTTCAACCAGGTAAAACAAAACAAAGTAGTGTGATGCTCGTAATTTAAACGGTCAAACGTTAAACACACGCATTAGTGACATCTTCTCTTTCTAAGTAGCTTCATTAATATATTTGAATTAAAATACTTTTGTTAGGTTTGAGGTACTTTTCTTCTTCCTTCCATTAGCATTTGCGAATGAAATTATGTTTTTCACACCTAGCAATACACACGTGGATATGTGAGGACTCTACACACACCTATGTGTGTTTATAAACCCTAATTGATGTTGACTAAAATGACAGAAATAACGTGTTAACAAAAACTAAGGACAAAAGTGGTGACAAAAACATTTTGTGGATGCCACCATTAGAAAATTAGTAATGTCAATTTAGCAAAAACATTAAATTAATGAAAATCCGATTAAAGAAATATGAATTAAAGTACATTTTCACAGTCATCGTTTTCAACGTGGCAGGTAATTATATGCACACGAAACCACAAGTTAGGAGAAAAGTAGGTTTTTTTTCTAGAAGAGTGATAATGTTTTAATTAATTAACTTCCTAAATCAGCTTTAGGAGGTGTGTATCATGACATGTTTTCTTTACCCTGTTTGCCAAAGTTCTATCTTTGTGATCTTCAAATATTATTAAAAATGTGGAATTCTAAAATGTAAAGAATGGGGCTATGCAGGCTGGAAGAAAATGACTTTTATAGCCCAACTCACACTCCACTTGTAATTTACTAAGAGAGTCAATCTTGAAAAACTCCTAGTGAAATATTAGTTTAATTAAAGTGACAATAAACTATGGCTTTTCTGTGTCATGATGCCACAGGGATACCTAAAAAAAAAAAATTGAATGATATAAGAAGAAAAGGACATGTAAGATTATAATTTTGTTTCACCAGGTGTATATTTGTCATTAAAAATGATATGTTAGATATCTATGTATCAAAAGATATACATACATACATATGCATGTTTTTATTTGTGTGACTAGAGAAAACCCCATCCTTCTTAGGTAGGTGGGTGAAGTTTATTTGGAAAATTTTGAATATGAAATACATTATGACTATATTTGATTTTATGAAATTGAAATTTAAAAATTGGAATTGGTGATATGAAAAAAAATAAACTAACAAAATTAAATTAAAATTTTCTTTACTTCTACCAATTTAAATAGTTCCAATAACATGGTGCCGATCGAACACAGTCTATCAAAAGTTGAAAGGTAAAATCTGCATAGTGTAAGAGATTGATTTGTATTGCCTATTCAACCTTGTTATTATGGTCTTATTAACTTAATTTATTCCGTAAATTGAATCACTCTTTAACCATCACTCATTAACAGAAGACTCACATAGATTTCAAGTTAAAGTATTGAATGGTTGATTTCTATTCTCTTGTGCAATCAACTAAAGCGACTCCTGACTTCTCTTTGAGAAGTAAAAGCTTGGTACCGCTAGGCCACTGACTTATTAATTATTGAATTTATTTTGACCGATTACCTTAATCTATTTCGTAAACTGTATCACTTTTTGAACCGCCACTCATTAGCATAGAACTCACTTAGATACTATACTAAAGTATTAAACAGTTGATTTCGATTCCCTTCATCCAATCAGCTAACGAGTTTTTCATTGGGCCTTGCCGGAATAGGATAATTCATGTCCATCTCAGGATGGGGTGCAAGTTGAAGCCAAACAAGGTGATACCTTGCACACCATCTTAGTCAACAATCCCTTTTTGGTCCCAAATTCAACTAAAATTGCTGGCGTAGGATAGGGACAAAACAAAAAAACAAATTTCTTATATGCATGATTGTGTAGAAATAAAGAAAAATATGACTCAACCACCATTATTGATTGTTGAAAAATATTCAATTTTCTTTACTTAATTTACTTTTATTAATTTTGTGATCAATCAAATAGACCATATAAATAAATAAATGAGAAGAAAAGAGATTTAATGTTGACGCTACCAAAAGGGCAGGCAGGGGATAGTGACCAATACTTGTTCTATATTTATTGAAGTCCCATGGTGCTGCTGTTAGATCTCCTGTCATATAATAAAGAGAGTGTCAATATATATATATATATTAAAGAGAGAGTACTCAAAACTTCAAAGGTAGACTTCTTTAACATCACCAATGATCACTAAAAATAGTTTCTGAGACTTTGGACTTTTTACATTAAAGCCAATTGCTAACTGTAAAATATATATATATAATTGTTCCGTTTTAATTTTATTTTATTTTATTAGGCAGATATTCTGCTTTGTACCCTTCAGTACTTGCTATCACTTTAACCATTACATAGCCAACAATAATAATAAAATAAATAAAGAACAAAATGTCTTAATATTATAACCAAAAGAAAGATATTGTCCAACTTTTACATGATATATTTGAAGAAAAAAATCTATGCGATGTGTGACACATAATCCATTGTTTCTATTAACTTAAACCTCTTTCATATTTGGTCTATCTTCATTCAATATTTTTAAAAAAATTCAAATTATATAAATAACAAATTTATTTGTATTTGGGAGTAAAAAATCAGTGTTCTGAATTTAAAATTAAAAAAAAAATTAATTTTAAATTTGAACTAAATGTTTTTTAATCTTAAATTCAAAGCGATTATCAGGCGATCCCAAGTTGATACATAATTACGAATCAAAGGCTGTTTAAATATTCAAGGAGAAAAGAAAATTTACCCAACTTCAACGAACACAAGAACTTCCCATAACCTTCTATGTCATCATGTTCTAGTGTATCAAATTAAACAATTCAGATTAAGAAATCTAAAAGTAATGTAAATAAAAAATCTCAGACTTTACAGTCTAAAAGTACACCAAGTATAACTTTATCATTCTTTTTTACAAAGTCAAAAAAAAAAAAAAAAAGAAAAAAAAAAGGGGAGGAAAATCATCAAAAGGGTACCCATATTTGCCAAACCTTAATATCACAATCCAAACTCCCACTATAAACCAAATAAGAAGAGCCAGATCCAGAAGTGTTTATAGTATCCACAGCTACAGTCAAAGACTTGACTGGACCATTATGCCCCTCCAACACTGCCAAACAAGAATAACTCCTCCCAACCCCTCTCTTCCAAACCCTAACTGTTTTATCTGCTGACCCACTAAACACCAAATCTGACAGAACCGCCAAGCACAGTATTGCCTTAGTATGCCCTCTAAGTGCACCTGCCACCACCATATGCCCTCCTCCACCACCATCACCACCACCACCATCTCTCTCCCACACAATTATTGACCGGTCGCATGCGCCGGAATAAAGCACACTCCCATCATTGCTTAGAGCCAAAGCATTAACAGTTGACTTATGCTTCTCAAATGTGTCAACGAGTGTATGTTTCTTCTCTCTTTCATTTTTCTTCCATACCTTTATCTTCCTATCAGCTGAACCAGTGTAAACAAACCCATCATTCGACAAAACCAGAGCGTTGATGGCGTCATCGTGGGCGTTCCAAACGGACTCCAAACACTTAAAATCCGATGTTCGCCACACTTTGAAGGTCCGGTCCCAAGAAACAGAGTACAAAACAGAGCCATCTTTGGATAGAGCAAGTGCCGATATGGTGTCAACATGGTGAACCCATGTGCACTTCTTGTGGCGGCGAACTTGGACGTAGTTCTTGGCCGAGAAGAGCCTGGTGGCGCGGTCATTGAGCGTCGGTAGCACGGCCATGCACTTGTATCTGTGGTTTGGAGTGTCATTATCGACCTTCCATACACGGATTTTGTGGTCTTGGTGAGCACTGAAGAGCTTCTCACCCAATACTACCATGGACTTGACCGCGCTGTGGCCGGTGGCTACCATAGTTGAATGATTGAGGGTAGATGGGTCACGGCTGCATACATTAATATCGCTGTTGGAATAGCCGGTGTAGAGGTGTTTTCCAGCGAGGGAGAGGGCGAAGACGTAGGAGGGGCCTTTGAGGGTGGACAAGCAGTGGTGGTTGGCAGCAGCGGCGGAGGGTTCATTTTGTTGTGGAGGTGGTGTTAGGGAAGGGACAGATGGTAGACTTGGTTGAGAGTAGAGGGAGGTGTTTGATGATGTATCTGATTGGAGGCTTTCAGACTGAGATTGAGGATCAGATTCTTCTTCGTTTGTATGGCAAGGCAAAGGACATGGAAGAAGTCCCATTTGAGAGAGAGGGAGAATGAATGAATATGGGTGGGTTGAATATAACATGCTTATAAATAAAGAGTCAATATGAAGGGTGGGCGTATGTTAGCAAAATGGCGCATTTTAGCAAAAAAAATTGGAAGATGGGTTTCAATTGCTAGGGTGGATACAGATTTGAGAAAATGGGTTCCATCCAAGTGTGGGAATGGAACCAAAATTGCAGTGATCAAAGCTATGTTTGCAATTTTTTAACACATTTGATGAAAGGGTATGAACCCTCTTTTTTGGTAAGCCAAGTTCCAAGATACTTCCACACAAGGGGCTGGACAACAAGGAGATGGTTGTCTTTTGGGGCTGGCCGCAAGCTAATTCACATCAATTGGTGGGGCCTTATTTGTGGGGTCCACTAGTTTGTGCCAACTTGCTTCTTGCTTTTATTTTTAGGCTTGTAGCACGTAGATCTATAGCTAGGAAGGTAGATTACATGTAAGCTCAGAACTTAATGGGTATGTCCCACAACTTAATTGACATTTAAGGAAGATTAACCAAAGTATTTGGTAAATTACCATTTGGGATTGTCTGAGAAGAATGGTGCAAAAATCTAGATATTAATTTTTTATTTTTAAATTTAAATTTATGTTTTATTATTAGGTTGTTGAGATGGGTACATAAAGGGAATTCTTCTTCATCATTATTATCATCATTATAATTCTTGCGAAGGCTGTGTGAATAAGGATTTGAAATCTTTCTGTACTAGCTGCCAATTTTGGTAATTGGTAGTGCTAAACAACCTAATTTGGAAAGGTCTAGTCCCCTTATCTTTAGAGAATTTAAATTTGAAATACAAATTAAAGAAATAAGCAATTTGATTTTTGGATAAGGAAGGTTCCATGGAAGTATCTCTCACACTGAATTTGAAAATGTATTCACAGAATTGAACAGCTAATTGAACTTGTGGCACAGGGAGGACTTCAAATAATCAGTGGGAACACTTTATTTATTCTTATCCGGTAAAGAGAGAGAATTCAACCTTCGTTGCCCATTGTTTTGACTGACATTAATTGGAATGAGAATGAGTTGGAAACGTCAACAACACACACAATTCTCATCATTGGAATTTTCCTTTCTTTGGGTAATTTCCTTGAAAGCAACAAGTCAATGACAGTAGTCAAATATACTGTAAAAGATCAATAATGTTTACTTAATTACCACGAAAATTGATGTCCCTTTATCAATAGAAATGTAACTCGTTTTATAAGTACACTGTAGAATTACATTGTAGGATCTCTGATCGTTATGTATGTATTTTTATATAAATTTGATATGTCAGAGTAAATTTATATAAAATTTTTATATTACTTATTTTTAACTCCAAGATTATGTTATATTTTTTGTGAAAAAAAATATTGCCTAATAATAACTACCCAAGGTCTTACATAACTTTTACAAACCTATTGAATTCGTTTTACTTTTTCGCTATTAAACCTTACGTCATAATCTTCCTTAATTAAAAAAAATAATAATAATTTCTCCTTATATTTTACTTTTTCATCCCGCCAATAACAAACCTTTCTCACCGCCACCAAAATTCTAATTTAATAACAAATAATACAATAAGATTCAAGTATGTAGAAACTACATAAACCAAAAATATGTAGCAACAATTGCAATTGAATTAACTAATCACCAAAAAAGAAAAAAAAAATTGTATAACTATATCAAACAACAATTATATAAAATCGTAATTAAAATATATATATCTAATATTTGGATAGAACATATTTATTTCATTAAAATAGAATGTAAAAGGAAAAAAAAAATCTAAAAACATCATAGAATCTACGGTGGTGTTTGTAGAGATAAGATCAAACGAAAGTGATGAATCAAACTATTTTTATGAAAAAAAGGGTTAACTTCAGTTACACCCCCTGAGGTATGTCCTAACTTCAAGGAGACTCCCCCACGTTTGCAAAATTTCAGTCAGACCCCTTACTTTTTCTGACACACATCAGTCTCCCCCTTCGGTCAACGGTCAAAGCTGGTCAAAGATATTTTTTGCTGACATCAGCGAAAAATTAAATTTTAATGCCCAAATTACCCTTCAACGGTTATGTTTGGTTACATATTATCTATCTAACCAAACACTCCCCTCAAAACGCGCACACACTTACTCTCTCTCTCTAAACTTTGTCTCTCTGCAAACCCATTTCTCTCTCTAACCTCGAAGGTTTGGGCAGTTAATATAACATCTTTTGGAGTATGGAACATTATCAAGCACTAGTTCAGTGACACCCTTGAGATATATTTCAATCTTATAAAGATCCAAATTCCGGAGTTCCAAGAACTTCAAGTACTTGCGATTAGAAATAATCTTAATATAGTCTAATCTAATATAAGAACACAGGCTCAAATTCTCCATGAACTCACAGTTACATATGATTCTGAAAAGACTCTTGGGGGTTACTCGGATCGAGTTGAGTTTTAGAGTTGTCAGATTCACACAACCTTTGAAAGCCGCAACAATGGAGTCGTCAATGCTGAGTTGGTACTTGTTGAGTTCGAGGACACGGAGAATTCCACACCGGAAGAGACTCAACGGCAAGATGGACGACTCGAGATACTGTACAGTTCCATCATCTATGCAAGTGAGTCGGAGCTCTTCTATGGATTTGTTCACTTTGAGGCGATTGATCAGTTTAAGCAACGACGGCCAGTCCTCCGGGGAGTGAGAAATCCGGCAGACGGTGAGATTAGTGCTTTGAGACGACATGACATGTTCAATGATCTAGAATGGAATTAAATCAAGTAGGTTCACATCTTCGACGTGGACGAGGTCGAAATCGAGGCGATGAAAGGACCTCCACAGGTGGCTCCACCGGCTAGACAAGATGGTGGTTGCTACAGCTTCTTTTGCCGGAAGCAGTGAGATTATTGAACATAATTTTTTGTTGTTATACAAGGAAAACAATAAATAAATAAATAAAAAGGAAAAACAAAAATTCTCTTTTTTGTTTTCCATTTCTTTGTACGAAATCAGTAAATCGATCTTCTACTTTAAGACACCATTTCTTTGATTAGCATTGCACCACATTAGTCATAAAAAGTAAATATGGACGGTCATTGGCTATATATCAGTGAACCCCCTCTCTCTCTATATATATTGATGGATTTGTGCTAAACTAGTTTGTAAAAAATGCAGAAGGTAGTCCAGCGGGAGAAAATGAGTGGTATTTCTTCTGCAAAAGAGGCAGAAAATATAGGAATAGCGTAAGATCAAATAGAGTCACTAGATCTGGTTTTTGGAAGGCAACTAGGTTTTGCGTAATGGCTCAAGAGGGCTCAAATGTATTCTTTAATGATGGATTGTCTCGGCCGTTACAAATCGACAGTGAAGATGAACCGCACCAATGACGCAAGGATACGGTTATGATGGAGGTGCTCGTAGACGACGAGTTTTCTGGTGAGCCAAACCCAGTTTTTTGTAACCCTAACTTTGCTAGTGAGATATGAGAGATGAGAGAGATGGACTGTTTGGTTCAAGAGATAAAGCTAACCCAGAGTTATAAAACATGTTTGGTTCAAGAGATTGACTGTTTGGTTAAGTGTATATACGAAAATGACAAAAAGGTAAATTAGTCAGTTCATTTATTTATTTGTTTTTGTCAGCCGACAATGTCTGACAGGGGGTCTGATTGAAATTTTGCAAATGTGGGGGGTGTCTCCTTGAAGTTAGGACATAACTCAGGGGGTGTAACTGAAGTTAACCCTTAAAAAAATAGTAATAATAAAAGATGGTCGAACAATTCTTATTTTGCAGATTCTTCTCTATGGTGCTTTAAAAGTGGGAAACATAGAGATGTAAAGGAATGAGAGAAAAGAAAGAGAACCACAAATGGGAAATGGAGAGGAGAGAGAAAATATGCTTACATAACTGTGTAAAAGGGCTGTGTAAAATACATAACCCTTTTACACATTGATGATATGGTAGTGTATCTTAACAAACTGTCTGAGATTGAAAAAAAATTTACAAATTATCCGTGGCAGTGTATATTTTATACAAAAGAGTTTTTTAATATACTGTCAGAAATGTTCTTAAAGTTTATCAATGTTTTTATCACATATGAATGAAATTGTTGAGCTCTTATTATCTAATATGTCGATCATACTCATAATTTTTCTCCAAGAAGGAGCTGAACTCTATAGAACTCAATCGCGTACTCCAAATTCCGCCGTGTCATTATCTGATCAAAGTTTATGTTCAGAATTATGTTACAACCTAATTTTTTATTAGTAGACTTTGACTGCATGATTACATGGCTAAATTTGGACTTTAGGATTGAAGTTTGTGAGTTCAGATTTGAAATCCTTTACACTGACTTGTGTAGCCCAATAAATTTTAGGTACTTTACTTTTATTTTGTTTTAAGTTGTTTTAAGGGTATTTTAAATATTATAGTTTTTAAATTGACAAAATGTTGAAAAATGTAGCAATTTTTTGAACACTAAAAGATATTTGTACATTGATTCGGTATAGAATATAACTTTTATTTGTACTCTACCTGTTATTATATTTGTATTTTTTATAAAAAAATTATAACAAAAATAAAATCACAAAATATTATAACTTAAAGATAAGTTAAAAATAAGCGTGACAATATTATCTGACTGATAGACTTTAAAATGTCCCATCCTATTAATTCTAAATTTGACAACCTCTTTCCAACTCATTACTAACCATTAGATATTTATATTATTGATAGAAATAAATGAGAATGAAAATAGAGAAATGTTATATCATCTCATGAGTGACAATGAACGTAGTTAATTGACATGGTGCACTTAATCTTCTCATTTGTATTTATCACATTGTTGATCCTATCTCATGTTTGTCTTGCAAAACAACAACAAAAATAGGTGGCATCTCTGTTAACCGTACATTGTAGTATTTCATGGGACCCAGTGTTCATTGGCGCCTTAAGCATCCTCTATATGTCAATCGGATATACCAATTATTCTTTTTGGTACCCCCAGCTTTTGAATCTACCTATCTCCTCCTACTCCTTTACAAGTTGTGTAACTTTCCACTTGTAATCAACTAACATAGACCCGATGGGGTCCAACATATATAGCCCTCTTTCCATGAAACATTGTTTCGATCTGTCCCAAGCGGTATAACATGCAAAGAGTTTTAATTTTATTTATTCACAAGCATGACACACAAAAAGGAATTACTATTCCTTGCCGGACTTGAATATATATATATATATATATATATATATATATATATATATATATATTATTGAATAATTCTAGCACGAACATCTGAGTATGTCCGGTATTTTCTGAACGATTCTCCTAGATTTAAAATTTGTAAGAATTTATTTCTTTTGGTGTCTAAGTCGGGATTGCATATGAACCTAGGAAAAATATTTCAGTAGAAAGTATTTAATGAATCTGGTAATTGGTAAAAACCACGACAATTGACGCGACAGTAAATTAAAGAATCGTGCCATGAACAGTCACAACCAGATCACTTCGAACCTCGCACGGGATTGATTGTACGCGGACCAACCCTTTTGCAGCGGTCAATTTCACCATGACCGCAACATTTTATTCAACCTTTACTTTTTCTCTTTTCTTTAAGCAATGATGTGAAGGACACTAGAAGTTGCAATGCAGCTAAGATTGTTTTTCTCTAGACATCACATTCAAAGAAAGCAACTTCTATGTAGTCTAGTCTACACCAAAATGAAGGCTGTAGCTTTGATTCTTGCTTTTGATTTTATTTTAATAGAGTCATTGAAAAATGGAATCTTACCATTTTTTTCTTCATTTCATTTCAAAACCAAAATACAATCTTTTGAACAATTCTTTATATACGGCCTTACTTATCAAAAACCCACAAAAAAAAAAAAAAAAAAAATTAAAAACAACCAATTCCAATATTCTTTTCACATCTTGTCTAGTGGACCCAAAATGGGAAATGGTTGTTTGGTCAAAGAATCTCATGATTTTTTCTTGAATACAAGTGGTTTAAAACATGATATTCAACCAAATGTTGTTTTAAGTTATCTACAAGCACATTGGATTAGGATCTCACTGTTTTTTATAAATGCTACCGTCACAAGTCTAACATGTATTACTAGCTCGGTTGTTATGATTACTCCTCATTTCTTATTAGGAGGTGTGGTTCGTTACTGCTTGTTTGTTTTAACTTTTAAAAATAAATAAATAAATAAAAGTTGAACGTGTAACTCATTAATTTTCCAAGTAGGAAAATTTTATTTGACAATGGGAGAGGGAAAAAATAATTAAAAAATTATAATTTAGTAACCAAACTTAAAAAGTAATTGTTGTGAAGTGACCATGATTACTAATACTATAATAATTCAGGTGATGGCATATGATCAGGTTTATTGATTTTTTTAGTGACTATGGTCGCTGAAGGTTGATGGCTTCATTACCACTATAATTACTGTGTAAATGATTCGGTAAACAAATATTTATATCACAATGATGTTTTAAACATGTATAAGCTATCAAATGATTTCATCAAGATAAATAAAACTAAAGATAATAATCTATTTGGTATTAGTATGTTTGGTTTAAGCGAAAAATAGGAGTGACAGAGTTTGACACGACATTCTAATACAATTAGAACACGACATAAGTTAAGTGGGTTTGGATAACGAATTTGAATTATAAATGAGTTGACACGGTTAACTCGTTTAGTTAATCGTGTTGTGTTTGGTTTGAGTTGAGGGGTTCAACTCGTATGGCTCGTTTAACTATACTTGTCATAAACAAATTTCTATTTAAATTTCAACGTAACTATTTTTTGTGTCTTATAATTCATTCTTTTGTAGACTATAGATTATTTAGTAATTTGTTTGGATTGAAAGTATTTAATGTTTGATTGTGTATTATTAATAATTTAAATAATATAACATTTTGTTTTAGTAAATAGGTCATTAAACGGGTTACACGTGTAACCCGTTTAATAAACAGACTGGGTTAGTGTTGATGGTCCCTGACACGATTATTAAACGGGTCGTGTTCGGGTTAAATTGTTTAGTATAATATTTTTAGGTCGACACGATTATGATCTACAAATACAAATTGCCACTCCCCCGTGAAAAGTGCCAACGAAGAAAAAGGAAACTACAATTATTTTATTATTATTTTTTAATCACGAGTGGTTTTGCCATTCCTATATATAAGCTCTAAAATTTTAGGATAAATAACACTAATTGTCCTTGAAGTTTGTGCAAATTACACATAATATACGGATTCAAACTTTATTACTTTAATCTCTCTTGAAATTTGACACACGTTCTTATGACATCCTTAGCTTTTTCTTTTACCTTAAAATTTTATGAAAAGGAATCCTAGATTTTTTTACTAATTAGAAGAAGTATAGAAGTCTATACGAAGTTCAAGAGCTGGCCCACTTCTATTTTCATGAAGGCTCCAAAATTTGGGTCAGGCTTACTGTGAAGGCCTATTGTTGTTAACTTATAAAGTAAGCCCACCCAAACTTGTGAGCCTAACAGACTCATTTACCCTCAGGCTGCCCGTTCCACGCTCACCCTTGCCCTGTGCAAACCATAAAGCCGAAAAAAGAAAAATGATACTAAAATTTAGGCTTAAATAAATAAATAATTTAAAATAAAAATGAATAGAACCACCTCTCTTAGAATGAGTTTGTTCTAAGAAAAGAAGAGAAATAAAAAAAATTTAAAAAATATGTTTCATCACTTAAAACTATTTT